TATAGGTTATAAAGAAAACAAACTACATTTCATTAGTTATCAAGTTTATAGACTAAGTAGCACAAACAAGGACTTGGTAATTCTTTGTTTTCATGATAAATATAACTCATAGAGGATAATATACAGTTATTTCAGCAAACACTAACAGTAACTTCATATTGAGGCCAGCAATATTCTCTGGTCTACACTGAATATGCCAATAGTTAGAAATAGATTAAATTTGATGAAACACTTGGTTGGGAGAAGGGTGCAAATGATCATTTCAAGAGAACAGACTGGGCACAGTTTGGGAACCAACCTGGTTATAGAGGCGATAAGGCTATCCAAATATTTGTTCCTTGTCCCATCTGTCTTCCTAAGACAGCACATTCCAAATGGGAGAGAGAAGGCCAAGTTCACATACCCAGTATTGGATTGTTTCTATTTAGTTACAACTATTATTACTAATATAACACAGATTGAACATTAATCTGATAAAATAATGACACGTTAGAATAAATGTTTTAATTACATTATGGCATAAGGTTTATAAAGTGCTTTTACATGTGTCTGGATTGAACCACAAAGGGGGCACTTGTGATTGGTTGCTTAAAGGAATGAAATCCTTCATCCTTCTGTGCATCCATATGCCTGTGCCATGTAACTTTGCAGTTTCTGACATGGAGAAAGTTGAGTCTACTCCCCAGCAGTTTAATTCTAAATCAGTCATGTGACTTCCTTTCATGTAAGTGAGTGTGATGCATGCAGACTCTTTTTTTTATTGTTTTATTATTCATATGTGCATACAATGCTTGGGTCATTTCTCTCCCCTGCCCCCACCCTCTCCCTAACCACCCACCCTACCCCCTCCCTCTCCCCCCCACCCCCTCACTACCCAGCAGAAACTATTTTGCCTTTATCTCTAATTTTGTTGAAGAGAGAGTAGAAGCAATAATAGGAAGGAACAAGGGTTTTTGCTAGTTGAGATAAGGATAGCTATACAGCGCATTGACTTACATTGATTTCCTGTGTGTGTGTGTTACCTTCTAGGTTAATTCTTCTTGATCTAACCTTTTCTCTAGTTCCTGGTCCCCTTCTCCTATTGGCCTCAGTTGCTTTTAAGGTATCTGCTTTAGTTTCTCTGCATTAAGGGCAACAATAGCCAAGTTATGGAAACAGCCAAGATGCTCCACCACGGACGAATGGATTAAGAAAATGTGGTATCTATACACAATGGAATTTTATGCAGCCATGAAGAGGAGCGAAATGTTATCATTCGCTGGTAAATGGATGGAATTGGAGAACATCATTCTGAGTGAGGTTAGCCTGGCCCAAAAGACCAAAAATCGTATGTTCTCCCTCATATGCGGACATTAGATCAAGGGCATGCAGACTCTTGAACGGTGGCTTACACCATTCCATTTTCTTCTTGCTCCTTTGCCATGGCCAGAATAATACACTCAGTTTAGCTTACTGAAACAAGAGTTGACTTCTCTTTAAAAGATCAGATAATAACTATTTTTGGTTTGGAGAGCCAAGCTGTTTCCACCATAACTACTCAACTACTCAATTCTGCCATTGTGACATGAAAGTAGTCACAGAAAACCTGAAAATAAATGAGTAGCAGTTGTTTTCCAAGAAAATATCATCTATAAAAACTGTTCATAGAAACTGGAGAACATCATTCTGAGCAAGGTTAGCCAGGCTCAGAAGACCAAAAATCATATGTTCTCCCTAATATGGACACTTTAGATCTAGGGCAAATGCAGCAATGTGGTTGGACTTGGATCACATGACAAGGGGAGAGCACATACGGGAAGTATAGGAATAGGTAGAAAAACCAAAACATGAAAGCGTTTGATGTCCCCATTCTAGAGGAACTAATACAGACACCTTAAAGCAACAGAGGTTAACATGAGAAGGGGATCAGGAACCAGTGTAAAGATCAGTTAGAGATGAATCAACTTGGGTTGTAACACATTTGTACATGAAAGCAATGCTAGGAATCTTTCTGTATAGCTATCCTTAACTCAACTTGCAAAAGCACTTTGTCTTTCTTATTATGCTTATGTCTTCTCTTCAACAAAATTAGAGATAAGGGCAGAACAGGTTCTGCCTGAAAGTGGCGGGGAGAGGTTTGGGGAGGGGGGCAGGGGGGAGAAATGACCCAAACAATGTACGCACATGTGAATAAATGAATAATAAAAAAATTAAAAACTGTCCATAGATTGTATTTGGCCCAGAGTCAATAGTGAGTACTGGAGGATGAGACACGTAGAATAGGTTGAATTACTTTAATAATCCTAGTTTAGATCTTTCTGAATCAGTCAAGCTTCAGAGAATTCCCAGAAATGTAGAACAGCCCAGACACACTTGCAGCAGAACTGCCTGGCTAAATTGTGACGTATAGAAGACACAGGAACAGACCCAGCCATGATTGGCTCAACCCTGAAGAACCATTAACAAAGCCTTCCAGTCAAGATGCTGTGTTTTGCAGAATGATTGTGGCAATAGACCACTAGTACAGTCAACAAAGCATTAATTTTGCTACTTTAGAATTAAAGATGGAACTTAATGGCAGTTCAATGCCTTGGTAATATCTCAGGCAGCCAGGAAGTCTCAGAGCCAAGTCTTAGATACAGGTGTTATTCAAACCCAGTATTCTATTCACTACACCAAATTGTTTCAGTCCTTAACTTTTTCTTTATTTTGGCTGGCTTTGTTTCTATGTTGCTATAGACACACATGATTAAGGCTAAAACGTGAATAATTTTAGGCAGCTTCTAACTCTCCACTATTTCCCCCTTTTAACTTTTAAGTCATTAAGAATCATGCTGCCCTGCCTTAAAGTTTGGAATATTTTCTTTAGGCTACTAATGCAGATCTCTTCATGATGTATCAGAGTCTGTATTGTCCTGGTTTATATTTTCTAAAACTTCAGTAAAAGGAAATAACTTAAATGGCCTACTCTTGCACACAGCTCCAATCTCTCACTTTACAGCTCACATTTTATGCACAGCTGTCAGGGCTTTCTGAATTAAATGTGACTTAGGGCCTGTGCTTGCTGACTGAGGAGACTCACAGGTCCTATAGCTCATCCACAATCTTGTACTTGAGCTGTCAAGGATGAGAGATTGGTGCCAAATTCAACCCAACATATCCCCTTCCCAGCAGTCTGCCTTCGACAACTCCTCCTTGTCAATTCCAACAGTTTACATAGAATATATAGTGAATAAAGTACCCTGAAAGATACAAATGTGGAGGTGCTGCTTCAGCTGATAGCAAGAACACCTATCAGCCTCCCACAGGGCTGACATTTCAGGATGGCAGGGGGAAACAGATCATAGGATTTTTGTAGTGATGGTTCTAAATGGATAGTAGAGCCTCTCAAGGCAAATCACCATTCTTCTCACTATCTACTCCCACCCCCAGGACTCAGTGTCATGCAAAAAACTCAAAACACTTTTTTTGTATTTATAAAGTAGAACCCTTGCATGAATGGTTTTTAGAACCAAACACGATCCCTTAGGACTGGTCTTTGCTATGTTTAAGTTTCATGCTTTGGGTGTCAGAACTCCATGCCCTTCTCCTCGTGCCTAGAGAAACTTCTAGGCTTGGAACCATCAAATGTTGGATCAGGAAGACAGCTGCTAACAGTGTCCAGGTGTTTTGAGAGGACCCTTACTATTCCTTGGACAGTTGACTTCCTAGCCAACCACAGCATGAAGATGTCAAATCACTGGCTTTCTGGCTACTAAGATCCAAGAGGAGTCCTTATTTTAATATGTGCCAAAAGGAAGAATGTTTCAGTCAGAAGAGCTTGTAAGTTTATAAATGTTATTAATTTTATGTTTACATATTTACATTTTATAGAAAAATAAAATTTTGTGTCACTGAGTACTAAACCTATTTGGTGAAAATTTATAGGGGGGAGGATATGTACACAAATCTCAAATTATTAACTCATGTGTGTGGATAAAGATAAAAAGCTCTTTAGAACAAGCAAATCTGGTTAATACTACTTTACTAAACTGATCATTTTAATCACTAATAATGGAGCGTAATGGTGTCATATACTCATTGATATATTGCAGTGTGAGGCAAACATCACCAGAAATGCTTACTATGAATCTAAGAATGACAAATAATAGGTAAAGCAAATCCAGATTAAGGGCCATTCTGTAAAATAACTGTCTTAAACTCTTCAAAAACAAGTCGATTTTATAAAAGACAACCACAACAGAGTGGAGAAGCTCTTCCATTTTAATGAAGACAACATAAAAACAATTAACAGAAGGCAATGTGTGGTCTTTGTTTGATTCCTAGATCAAAAATAAAGCAGTTATAACTGTGCATTGTGACTCACACTTGCAACCCCAGTTACTTGGGAGGATCATTGTTTGAAAACAGCCTAGGGAAAAAGCTAGCAAGACCCCATCTCAACTAATAAGAAGCTGAGTGCAATGATACACACCTATCATCCCAGCTATGTGGGAGATGTAAATAGGAGGATCATGGTCCAGGTCATAAACACAAGACCATAAATGAAAAATAAGTAAAACAAAAGAAACTGTAGTCATGGCTCAGGTGGTAGAGCAACTGCGTAGTAAGCATAAGGCCCTGAGTTCAAACCCCACTACTGCAAATTAAATAAATAAATAAATAAAGCAGCTATAAAGATTATTTATTGGGGAAATTAGAAAAAGTTCTACATTTATTAAATAATATCATTGAGTCAGTGTTACGTTTCTTGGGTGTGATATGATACTGTGGTTGTTTTGGAGATTATCTTCTTCAGAAGAGGAACATGTCAAAGCTTTAAAGAGTTATGATCTCTGCAACTTTTCAAGTTATTCTGAAAAACCAGTAATGAGATAATGTGAGATGATGAGGTAATATGAATGTGTCAAAATGTTCACAACCGCTGAGTCCAGATGAAGGGTATACAGAGATCCACTGGCCTGTTTTTCAACTTTCCCATAGGTTAGAAATTTTTAAAAACAAATAGTAGGAAAAAAACAAAATGAAGCAAATGTATTCTTTAAATTCTTTATTCTGCATGCCTGTTTCAGCAGTGTTGAAATGCAGGTTCCTCACACATGCAAATGTGCTCTTCTTTATAGATTCACAACATAAACTGTTGATAAGTGTCACAAATCAAAACATAGTCAAAATTTACAGCAGAGTATTTTAAAAATCAGACAAAAGACTTAAGAATTATTATGTCATGTTTTTAGTGCAAATACAACACAAGCAAAGAGGATATTAATCATGCCAGACTTTAAAACAGGTTTTCCCTGATTCTTAATTTCTCTGTTCCCCTCCTCCCCAAAACCTATGAAATTATCCATTCTATCCTAGAGGTATGGAATACTTAAAAGCCAGTAGGATGACGTGCTGTATCGATCTCCTCACAGGTACAATCTACTCTTCAGTAATCTGTAGGCCATTGAAAAGGTAACTCCAAATCCAACAAAAAAAGCCAACCCTCTATTTGGCTGTGGAAAGGGTGTCAGATAGGCAATTGTGTGGTAGATCCGTGCTCCAACAAAGAGTCTGAAGTGCAGGAGGGCTGTAGAGAGATCTGGACCACTCAAGGAATACAACAGGCCGATCCCAAGAAATGGAACAATGTTTTCAAGGTCATTCAGGTGGGCTCTGTGAGAAAATATGACCATTAAAATTTCAAAATCAGTATGCATTCTTCCCTCTCTTCTAAAATTAAATATAAATGTCAACGGATACTTCTGATTTGGGACAGGGTCTCATTACCTAGCCCAGGCTGGCCTTGAATTCAAGGTTCTTCTGCCTTAGCCTCCCAAATGCTGGGATTGTAATCATGCACCCTCATGCCCTTCAATGTTAACAGATTTTTTAATTGCAAAGTAAGAGTCTTTTTTTTTTTTCCTCTCAAACTTCTGAGCTTCCTTCCTTGCTTGACCTTTATTTAAAACATCTCATTTTTGTTTTGGTTTTATTTTTAGTGTATCTTTAGAAGGCATTTGGTTGTTTCTAGAATATCAACACTGCATCCATCTAGGAAAACTCACTTTGCTTTTGCAGATATGAAATCCTTTTTGCAATTAAAGTTTCTCCTTACAAAAACTCTTCTTCCCAAAGGAAGAAATTTATTTTGATTGTGATTGGCCCTAAGAGTTTTCCTTTACTGGGTGTCGTGGTGCATGCCTGTAACCCCAGCTTCTTGAAAGGTGGAGGTAGGAGGGTCATGAGTGTGAAATCAGTCCTCACAAAATTAGCAAAACCCTGTCTCAAAAACAAAAATAAACAAAAAGACTGGAGGTGTGGCTCCAGTGGTACAGCCCAATGCCTAGCATGCATGAGGTCCTGGGTTCAACCACCAGTGCATAGGAGACGAAGATTCCTCCTGCACTTCTGCTACCCTTCAAAATGGCTACTGAGAAAATCCTCACCCATTTACCCAAACCACTAGGTTGTTTGGTAAAGAACCAATCTACCAACTTAATACCAAGAATCTCAAGCTCTTTAACATACAAGTAACAGAACATATAACTAGCCCCCTGGATATGGGTAAAATTTTATCTATTCTATCTTCAAATCACAAAGGGAATTAGTTAATAATGATGCAAAAAAAATGAAAGCTATACACAAAAGACTATGAGAGAGACAGAAGTTTCCTGAAGTTTATCTTTCTATCACCACTAAAAGAAAACAGAAACCATGGTTTAGTAAGAAATATTCCTCCCATTCATACCATCTGGTTAGAATTGTGAATAAAAGAAACATTTATCATTGACTTGACTTTTGAAAAAGTGCTTAACTTCTAAATCTAATGCTCCTTTTTAACTGCACAGAATTAAAGTTACTTTATAATCTAGATTATGAATAGAGACTTTGATCAGGTTTATCAGCTATTGATATACATTTCAAGATAAAAAGGCTTTCTGGTTTAGTCTACTCTGTTCTATTACGGCATAAAATATAATTATGACATATTGTCAGCTTGGTGCTCATCAGTATCCTTTCTTTCTTGCCTTTCTCCCATTTTCCTTAAGATCTCTAAGCTTCCCTGACCAAGATGACAACATGAAGATATGAAGAATGCAGCAACAACCTACGTAAACTAGTGGTTTAAAAGTTTAAAGAGCTACAGTAAGCTGGCCATATCTGCAGATTTAAAACCAAGTTTTGACCAAGTTCAGTAAAAAAAAAAAAAAACCCAATCAATAAAATCAAAAGCAATTTCCAAAACAAAATTCTTAAATCCCCACATGCATAATGCAGTTCTGTTGATGCAAAGTTCTCAGTCAGACCCATGTTGATTTGCCAAGTGTTTCCCTGACCTTCATTTTGTACAAATCTGCCTCCCAAAAGCAAATGATGCACAAAAAGAAAGTGAATGTGCTTCATTTAAGTGATACATGAAAATTTGAGGTTTGTCAAAAGGTGGCCTGTTTTAAGTCGAAGCTGGGCAGTGTTGTGGGGAAAATGAAACAAGCATGTGTGGTATAGCTCTGAACTCTATGTCTCCTGGGCATTCGTGGTGTTTCCTCAATGGTGGCCTCCTTGGAACTAAACACCCACCCACACTAAGGGTCTACTGGACCTGCCCCTGAACAAGGGCAAAGACAGAATGGAGTGAGTGTTTTTGTCCCCTCTTTTGAGATTCAACCAAAGGGCTACTAAGGATAAGGTAGGGTGGGCAAGCTAGGACAGAAATCCTATTTTCACTATAAAAGGGCCTGCTTCATCAATTAGACTGCATTCTAACCCTGCCCAGACATGCTAGCCCAGCACCTGCTATAGCTCAATGTCACGCTTCCCTTTGCCACTTCCCTCCTTCCCAGAATGACAACTTCTTCAGTCTAGAGCCATCTATAGACAGCCGCTAGAATCTATTACCAGGTGGCTATCAGACTTCAGGAGTGATCACTTTCTACCTGGTTTATCCTATCAGTCTGTGTTCCCATTCTTTCTCCTTTAGATGGATGACCATGACAGAAACTTGCTCAGTGACAGACCTTCTCACCAGCTCTGTGCTATGATACCACCATTACACCTCATTCCCTCACATCAGAATCACTTGGACCCAGCAATCACCTCAACCATACTAGAGTTGCTACATGAATTTAAAATGAATTGTCAAGTGCAAGTTTGGGGGTTCATGCCTGTAATCCCAGTTACTCAAGAGGTGGCAACTGGGAAGACGGTGGTTAGAGGCCTGTCCAGGGATAAAAGCCAGACCCCATCTCTACACCTAACCAGGCTGGATGGTGTATGCTTGTAATCCTAGCTACATGGGAGGATCATGGACTGAGACTGATCCAGGACAAAACGTGGGACACTATCTGAAAAATAACTAAGACAAAAGTTCTGGGGGTGTGAGTCAAACGATAAAGTGACTGCCTAACAACCTCAAGGCTCTGAGTTTAAACCCCAGAGCCATCTTTTTATGTCAAGAGATAGCCAGCTACAAAAGAAGCTCCAACCACACCTCTTCTGACTCCTTTGGCTCAGCCAAAGCTCTCACTTCAACACATGGCAATGTGTCCAAATTCCCACAAAGGAATTTCTCAAATTCACCTGATTTCTCTTCTCTTCCTTGTTCTCAATTGTAATGTTCTCCAAGTTCCTCCATCGTGAACTATTCCAAGTTCCCGACTACTTTTACCCACCATTTGCCTCTAGAACATCTAATGGAACACTGCATCATGTTATCCTGTAAGTGCTATATGCATTTGATCTTATATGCAAGGGAGCAGTATAAACTTCTGGGAGGCAGAACCCCAGTCTTACAGTTTTTGACAGCAAGAAGATAGGATAAGGCAAATGCCAGGTGCTCACGACTGTAATCCTAGCTCCTCTGGAGGCTGAGATGAGGAGGATCACACTCCAAGGCCAGCCCAGGCCAAACAATGTTTGTGAGATTCCCACCTCAATGGGAAAAAAAATGGGTATCGTGGTGCACACTTGTCACACTAGCAATGGCAGGAAGCATAAAATAGAAGAATCACAATCTAGGCCAGCCTGAAGGCACGGCTCAAATGGTATAGCACCTGCCTAGGAAATGTGAAGCCCTGAGTTCAAACCCCAGTCAGACATGATAGTGATACATACACAGCAATCTCAATAAATGTCTTGTTCATGCACTGGGGACACAAGAGGAGTTCTCCAACTCAGCCTTAGCCCATGCTTCAGTCTCATGACAGAATCCCCACTAAGCACCACTCTTGGTGCATGGGGCACTCTCTACTTAGAAGGCAGTATATATTCTAAATGCATCTCCTTTTCCTAAGGACGAAGCCCAAGTGCTTTTCAATGACTCCTTTTATTTCTCTAGCTATCCTGCAAGCCTTCCAACTTTCATCTGTCTTGTGGCATTGAACATACATATATATCCCATATCTATATATCCCATATATATTGAATTCCTCCTACAACAAAGTGAGCTAGGATTAGATAAACATGCAAAGCACTTTCTTTCTATCACTGATTTGTCTTTCCAAAACTCAAATAACTGACTTTAAGCCACAAATCATAACATTTCAGCACATATTATTGTAAGCTTTTAATTAATTGTTCCATAGGTGTATTATTAATTTACTCAGTATTGTGGACCTTTCACTTCATTTGTAACCTCACTCAGTCCCTGCCATTGGAATATGCAAATAGTAATGAGTTTATAATTACATGCTGAAGTAATTAAGAGGGGAAAAAAGCCTAGGTTAAAAATGCAAAAGGGAGATTCTGGAAAGTTTTTACTATGAAAATTATTTCCAAAGTGTGTTATTAGGAACTTTTTTGATAGGGCCAATATATATATTGGGCGCCTTGTCCTTGTAGGACACAATCCCCTTACCACCCTGAAATGCCAGCATCTGGTCACCAGGGGGCGCTGTGCACAAGGTCACAGCACCTCAAGGCCAGCCCTTTCAGAATCAGGGTCAATTGCTTACTAAAATGTATTTGCAGCCTCTCTAGAGGATCAGCCTAAATTGTGGCTTTCTCCTCTGGAAGTACAATTCCAGGGGCATAGGAGGTAGGTGAAAGAGGTGGGAAAGGATCTAAATTCCCCAAATAAAACCTCGTGTTATGCTTTCACATACTAGAGTTGGATCTGAACCTTGGTGAGGTTCTAACCACCATCACTTTCTGGACAACTCTATAAATATAGGGCCATGATTAATATCATGCATGTGGCTGCCTGCTTTAAAGGGAACCACAAAAGTGACAAAATAAAGCTTTAAATTGTTTATATCTCCAAAGCTTCACTCACTTTTCTAATTTTTTTTTCTTTTCCATCACAACACCTAAGACTTTTCTTCTGAAACTGTGAGGTGCTCACAATGATTCTTTAGTTCTGAAACTCTTTAAGATCCATATTTCTTAGCACAGCCCATTTTCAAGAGTGACTGATTTAGGACGACTGCTGAATTAGCCAGTATATAAATGAAACAGAAGTGAAAATTTTGTATTTAGTATCTAGCACACATTTTCTCTTTGGACAAAAACACTCTTGGTTAATAAGGATATGTTTGGGGGTACAATTGTTTTGAATAAGCAAGATGAATTTAATATTAGGCAGAAGAGTGCAGGGGGCAAAAGAGGAGCCTGGGAAGGAGTGCAATATAGAGAATTGTGGTGCACAGCTCCCAGGGGACACTGAAGACACTTCATATACAGGGTCTTTCATGCAATCTGAAATGTTTGTGTAAGTTCAATTTTATCCATATTATTTCAGTTCCTTTGACAAGGGAATTAAAAGAAGGGATGAGTTTACATCCAGAATAACAAAATGCAAAATACAGAAATGTGTACAAATGCATGAACCCAGGGCCAGACTTAATCTTGAGACCATGTATCTTAAACCACAAATATAAATCTGCAGGAATCTTATGAGTGGCTTCAGACTGTCTCAGGGAATGAAGAGAAGAATAATGCAAACATGATCTAGAGACTACAGCTGCATCCCCCTTCTGTAACCTATATTATGGAAGAAAATTCTTTTCTCTGTCTCCAGTTCACTATTCATACCAAACTGAAGAACTATGTTCAAATATATCCTCATATTTGCTATCTTAATTCTTCATATTTAAATATGCCTGTAGAATTTTTCTCTGGTGCTTTAATTTTAGAACACTTTATTTACTCATTATCACTACTAGAACAATAGTAGATCCTCAGTAACTGCAGGTACCTGGTTCTAAGCAGCCCACCATGGAGGAACAACCATGCATGTCAGGTTGTAGAGCAGGCTTGATTCACTTTGCCCGTAACACCACTCAGCTTTCACTGGAGAAAAGTGCCTTTCAACAAATCTCAAAATTTTTCACTTTATCACTTCAATTTAGACATATTCACCTTTACCTTGCTTTGGGGGCACCATTTACTTGAGGGGAGGCAGATTTCACAAAATGAGGGGCAGAGAAACACTCAGCAGATCACACAGTGACTTAGATACAACTGATCATAGCACAGGAGTGACTGACTGAAAGCATCTCTACATCCACTGAGAGAAATGGGTTCGAGAATTTAAAAATCACGGTTTTTGAAATTTATTTTCATTTTATTTTTCTTTTGACTGTGCTTGGTCAAAACTGTGTGTAATAAATCCATGAATAAGGCAGGCTTATTGTATACCAGTTTAGATGAGCATTAGAAAATATCAGGTGAGAAGCTGTCATGTAACTTTGATCATTCACACGTTAGAAAAAGGTGACCAATGGGTTGGAAGTAAAATCTCAGTATAAAACATTTTTTCAAACTGCATGCCTTTATGACAACAATTAAAAAAAACACCCCCAGATCTGGAATTAGAGGCGCTTTCAAAATAAATATCTAGATTGAATTATTAGGAGACTATGTAGATGATGCTTTGACTTACTGCTTTTTATTGCCCACTGAACTCCCAGCATATTAGACACATTACCTACAAAGAAGAGAAAGAAAAAGAAAGACAGAGACAGAAAGATTTCCCTACTTCTCTGAAGAACGTCAACTTCCATATTTTAAATCTTATGCAAAAACACTAGCTCTTCAACTTTTTACATGAGTTGAATATTCTCTAGGAATACAAGAAACTACAAGAGTCCATTGACCCTATTTTACCTCTTATACCCATCATTACTTTTGATATGTCCTTATACAGAGCAGTTATCAGCCCCAAAAAGCCCATTTAAAAGTATAACAAAGCTGGGAATAGGTGTAATTTCAGTGATACTTAGACACTTCTAGATCCTTAATTTTCTGTATTTATTATATGGAACAAATATAATGACTGACTTTTTCGCATCTTCTCCAAAACTCCAACATCTTTACTGAACTCCTTGACCAAAACTTTTTGAGAGAGTAAGTTCCAGAGACAATGGGTTACCTTCGTACGCGTTCCACCCTGTCATCTGTTTGAAGATATTTCTTGGCATTCTCTTCCTTGCCAAAGGCTGCATAGTCTTCTGGGTTGGCAAAAACCTATCCCCAAAACCAAAGCAAAAGCTTATGGCGAATACCAAACAAGTTGGTTACAGGTTAATGGAAGAAATACAGGCATCTAAGTTGGCCATGGTAGAAAAAATAAATTAGAGCAATAAATCAAACACTGGATGAGGGAAGGCAGCCAGAGTCTGAACCAGAATCTTTATTAACATTGCAAACATTTTTAAAGGAAACGTAAATACAAACTTGAATAAAAGCCAGCACATCAAAATTGTGAAAAGGAAGTAAAAATGGAAAAGGGGTATAAGTCTAAGTAATCAGCGACTTGTGGCACCTGGCATTTTTTTCACAGTGATGTTGACACACGTTCCCTCAACTGTTAACATTTTCAAGGGACTGGCTTGCCCAAAAGTAAAGTGTTGACTACACAATGATGTTGGAGAATGGGCAAGAAACATAAAACAGTGAGGGATGGGAAAGGTGCTCTGTACTGTGTTAGAATAGGTATGCTTCTTTTCCTGCTCTGAACTGTACAAAATTTTGATTGTTGAAGAAAGTTTGATTTGTTGATTATATAGTGAAGTAGCATTCTTATGAATAACAAGGGCACATTTAGTGCATGTGTTCATATATTCCGTTCTGCAATTATTCTACTGTTTGAAATGGTTTCCCCATCTCTTGAAACTTGAAATATGCATTTTAAAAATATTTAAGTATGTCCCACTGGTTAATCATTTACAATAAAGAAAAGTACAGACTGTAAAATTAGTTTAAGCCTGAAAATGTTATAAATATTACACTAGTTTATTTTAAAATATGATGTGAGCATTCCAGATAAAGATATTGAGGAGACCTGATGAGCACGGACATCATAAAGTATCAGCTCTTGAAGTCAGACCTACCTGTCTTGTCCATCGTAGTGTCCCCTAAATAAATGCCTGGCACACATTGTGTTTAATATACACATTCTGAATAAAGACACAAATGTGTTACAATGACAAGTGCATGAGATTTGGGGTTAAACCAATCTGAACTTTCATCTCAGCCTTACCTTTCACTGACCACCTCTATTCATTGATTGAAAGTCTGTGTCTTCACAGGATTTGTTAATTGAAGACTAATCCCTAGTGTGATAGTGTTTGGATACAGGGCATTTAGGAAGTGTCAAGTTCATATGGGTGGACCCAGATGAATGGGATTCATGCCCTTATAATAAGACAGATAAAAGCTAGCCTCTCTTACTCTCTCTCTCTCTCTCTCTGCTCTGCCTGAGTAAGGATAGAGAAGCAGAGCAGGAATCCAGCTGTCACTAGACACTGGATCTGCAGGCAGTTGACCTTGAACTTGCTAATCGCCAGATCAATGAGGAAAAAACATTTGTTATCTAAGACACCCAGTCTGTGATGTTCTGTAACAGCAGCCCAAACTGACTCAGACAGCTGCTTGACATTTCTGTTTTTCAGTTCCTATTTATAAAATTCAGAGACAAACCCTCATCTCACCAGATAGTGCTAATGATAAGAGACAATGACCCAGGGATCTGCCACATGCAAAACTGTATAGACTCCTGGCACTCCACAAATCTGAGTTCTAGCCTTCTCTTACAAGGTAAATGTCCTGTGCCATTCTAGAGGAGAGTTTTTACCCTGTGGCAGGCAGCCACTTTGTGCCTGTTACTCCAACACCAGTTTCCTATCACTGACAAATATAAGGGAATGGTCCCCATTAAAATACAAATAGTCTTGAAACACCTAAGAGATTGTGACCTCTAGATAAAAGTAAGGCTCTTAAGACAAAAATCAGGACAGGCACTAAGAAAGAAATAGGTGGTTTACAGAAAGAGGTTGTTGGATCCAACACCATTTCATGATAAAAGCTCTAAGAAAACTAGGAATAGAAGGAAAGTACTTCAACATTATAAAAGCTATATAAGACAAACTACAGCCAGCATTATACTCAACAGAGAAAAACTGAAACCATTCCCTCTAAAATCAGAAACTAGACAAGGATGCCCACTATCTCCACTCCTATTGAACATAGTACTGGAATTCCTAGCCAGAGCAATTAGGCAAGAAGAAGGAATAAAAGGAATACAAATAGGTAAAGAAACTGTCAAAATATCACTATTTGCAGACAATATGATCCTATACCTTAAAGACCCAAAAAACTCTACTCAAAAGCTCCTAGACACCATCAACAGCTATAGCAAGGTAGCAGGATATAAAATCAACATAGAAAAATCATTAGCATTTCTATACACTAATAATGAACAAACTGAAAAATATATGAAAACAATTCCATTTACAATAGCCTCAAAAAAATCAAATACCTAGGTGTAAACCTAACAAAGGATATGAACTACCTCTACAAGGAAAACTATAAACTTCTGAAGAAAGAGATTGAGGAAGACTATAGAAAGTGGAGAGATCTCCCATGCTCATGGATTGGTAGAATCAACATAGTAAAAATGTCTATACTCCCAAAAGTAATCTACATGTGTAATGCAATTCCCATCAAAATTCCAATGACATTCATTAAAGAGATTGAAAAATCTACTGTTAAATTTATATGGAAACACAAGAGGCCACAAATAGCCAAGACAATACTCAGTGAGAAGAACAATGCTGGAGGCATCACAATACCTGACTTCAAACTATATTACAAAGCAATAGCAATAAAAACAGCATAGTACTGGCACAAAAACAGACATGAAGACCAGTGGAACAGAATAGAGGACCCAGATATGAAGCCACACAACTATAACCAATTTGTCTTTGACAAAGGAGAGAAAATATACAATGGAGAAAAGACAGCCTCTTCAACAAAAACTGCTGGGAAAACTGGTTAGCAGTCTGCAAAAAACTGAAACTAGATCCATGTATATCACCCTATACCAATATTAACTCAAAATGGATCAAGGATCTTAATATCAGACCACAAACTCTAAAGTTGATACAGGAAAGTGTAGGAAATACTCTGGAATTAGTACGTATAGGTAAGAACTGTCTCAATGGAACCCCAGCAGCTCAGCAACTAAGAGATAGCATAGATAAATGTGACTTCATAAAACTAAAAAGCTTCTGCTCAACAAAAGCAATGGTCTCTAAACTGAAGAGACCACCCACAGAGTGGGAGAAAATATTTGCCAGCTACACATCAGACAAAGGACTGATAACCAGAATATATAGGGAACTTAAAAAACTAAATTCTCCCAAAACTAATGAACCAATAAAGAAATGGGCAAGTGAACTAAACAGAACTTTCTCAAAAGAAGAAATTCAAATGGCCAGAAAACACATGAAAAAATGCTCACCATTTCTAGCAATAAAGGAAATGCAGCCATGAAGAAGAACGAAATGCTACCATTTGCAGGTAAATGGATGGAACTGGAGAACATAATTCTGAATGAGGTTAGCCTGGCCCAAAAGACCAAAAATCGTATGTTCTCCCTCATATGTGGACATTAGATCAAGGGCAAACACAACAAGGAGATTGGACTTTGATCACAAGATAAAGCGAGAGCACACAAGGGAGGGGTGAGGATAGGTAAGACACCTAAAAAATTAGATAGCATTTGTTGCCTTCAATGCAGAGAAACTAAAGCAGATACCTTAAAAGCAACTGAGGCCAATAGGAGAAGGGGACCAGGAACTAGAGAAAAGTTTAGTTCAAGAAGAATTAACTTAGAAGGTAACACACACGCACAGGAAATCAATGTGAGTCAACTCCCTGTATAGCTATCCTTATCTCAACTAGCAAAAACCCTGTTCCTTCCTATTATGGCTTATACTCTCTCTTCAACAAAATTAGAGATAAAGGCAAAATAGTTTCTGCTGGGTAGTGAGGGGGTGGGGGGGAGAGGGAGGGGGCAGGATGGGTGGTTAGGGAGAGGGTTGTGCATTGTATGCACATATGAATAAATTAAAAAAAAGGTTGTTGGATATGCAAAGAGACCACAACAATGAAAAACTTTAAACTTCACCAAGCAGCCTTGCTCTGCACCCCTCACTGTGCTAGAATATTGAAGTGGGCTTCAAAATCTTTCTATCACCTTGCTTATGTCTCCAGGTTTTAAAAAAGTCATCATTATAGGACTGAGGGTGTTGATTAAAAGTGCTTGCCCAGCAAGCATGAGGCCCTGGGTTCAATTTTCAATATCACACACACAAAAAAGAAGTCAGCATTATAAAACTGGGTAAAAATATTATCTATTTAAAAAGTCGGAAATACATCAAATTCTGTGATTGGCTTATCCCAATCACAAGAGACTCTAAAGTGGGAATAAACACTTTAATTATCAGCCTTCTTTCTTTCTTCTTTTTTCTTCAATCTATTTTCCTCTTCCATCCTCCCTCAAAATATATCCCACCATTTAACTATCTAAAAAATGAATATTTTCTAAACTCTAACTGACAAATTGAATTCTGAAATTATACAGTTTCCTTACAGTGAAACTTACTATGAGTAAAACCCTACCATTCCAGGAATCTCATCCTCTAGCCATAATAACAAAGGGTAAAAGTCACAAAGAAAAAACCATTTAGTAGTTTCTGCATGAAAGCGATTGCCTATAAATATATTAGATTTATCTAAATCAATTGATTACATACTTGCAGCATAACATAATACTGTGTGCTCTTTATTAAGCTTTGTTTAAAAAAAAAAGGTGGGGGAGATTAAGAAAAATGCTTTCCAGAATTATATCTCTTCAAAATGAGAAAACTTTACCTCCAAATTTCTTACCTTCCTTTTTAGTCTGTAGAATGCAGTTGCAGTGCTCATAAACATCATTTTTGTAAGAATAATTGTTGCGTAAGAGGTAAAGGCCATGAAGACTTCATTTTCCAACAGCTGGTTGAGATGAGCCATTTTTTCAATTTTGATCTGGAATCTTAAAAAGATTTTGGACAAAAAGGGGAAAAACAAGCACAAATACCATTGTCTCTTAATGAGTTTATATTGCAGCATTAAACACATTGCTCTTAAAAATGTCTTGGGCTGTTTGCAAAGGAAATGGTCATTTCTTCTTAAAACTTTCAAAATAAGCAAGATTATGCCTTCTCTAGTTGTATATCACTAAGGTTAAGGACAGCAAACAAGTACTAAATGATAATACAGGGGATATTATAGGAAAAACAAAACAGCCAAGATGCCTGGCCTAAAGATTGACTAAAATAATTTATTAGCACCTAGATGGACCACAGATTGAATGCAAAGACCAGAGGTCATGGATCAATCTCTTTAGAATTATCAAACCATACATAGCAGTACCACTGATGCTTCATTGGAAAGTCCTCAATTCTAACACATGTCTTTCTTTAGAAACTCAACTTACTGCTTTTTATCACTTCAGTAGGACTCAAGACCTCAGGCTCCCACAATTGGGCCATTATCCTCACTTGGGGAATTTAGGTTCTCTGAGACTAAATGTCTTCATTTATAAGATAGGAATAGTAATGGTTCCTAACATTGAGTTATTGTGAGATTTGATTTAGCTACTATGTAAGATATAGCACAGTGGCTAACCATGAACAACTCTCAAAAGTTTTATGATAACCTGATCACTTCAACATGATCAATGTGATCATTAGTACAGACAATGGAAATATCCAAATAGCAGGCTTGCAAACACATGGCAGGGAAATGGCACACATGGTACTTCGATAAAACAAATAAGGGAGAGAAGACTGGCTTCATATTTCATATTCATAAACACCTAAAACCTGCCAAGAGTAAATTGAATGTAACTGAGTCTGTAGTTGAAAGTATAACCAGGAAGATTTTCAGGAGCAAAGGTAAGGTACACTAGTAACACTGAGGTCAAAGTGGGTAGGAATTTACTCCTCACCCTATCAGCTAGTGGTTCATTGTCACTCCTCCTGTTCTTTTATCATCTCTGCTATCTGCTTTTATCTTTTCCACATAAAAATACACCTTTTCTCCTACTCAACTTAGGTGCTATTTAACCCACTTTGCATGTAGGACTATCTCTTCTCAATGATGTCAGTTCCTGCCCTCAAACATCAACCTTTGCCTGTAACCATAAAGGATTGGCATCTATCAGTCTCTGGCCCTTCAATCCATCCACTAATAATCTATAAATCTACATAAATATTCCTGTATTTTCTTAGTGGTCATAGAGTTGTTCATGTGTGATATAAACATGCAAATGTAATTTTAAAAGAATTGTTTATGAGTCCAACTATGCTATATACTTTATGTGCAATACCTTACATAATTTTAGTAACTATACTATTTCACAGATAAAGAAAATAGAAATTGGAGACATTAAGTAGGCGGGCTGGGACACAAACCCAGGCCTCTGTTATCACATCCTGTGTGCTAATATATTAGAATGCCTCCTTCAAGAAACGTGTTAAACTCAGCTTTCAACTATAATTCTGATTCAACTAAAATTGATCAAATGTCTACTCTGCAGCTGGCATGGCTGGGCACCCCTTACACCCATCATCTTCTTTCCTCTTCCTATTGTGCTATGAGGTAGGGGTCACCATTTCCATTTTGTGGATAAAGAAACCAGATTCCTGATTTTTGTTTCTATAGGCTAAAAATGCATTCCTTGGATTTAGGCAAACAAAAACCATATATAAATGCATATGTCCCTAGGTGTGGCCCAGGACCCTCCCATGGATGCTAAATCTAAAGGTGTTTGAGTCCTTTGTATATAATTGTGTCATATTTGCATATAAGTCATGCAATCCTCCCACATGTCCTCCCATATTTTGTCACCTCTCTATGATTTATGACACAAGGCCAATGCTACACAAATAGTTGTTACGCTGTATTATTTTGGGTTTAGTGACAAGAAAAAAGGTCTGCTATATATTCAGCACACATTTTTTCCTAATATTTTCGATCTATGGTTGGCCAAAACCAACCGCAGATGAATGGAGGACTGACTCTATTCTAGATTAAACAACAACAAAAAAGAATCCCACATATATTGGCAAATTAACTCACAATCCACCTCCATGAATTCATAGTCTTCAAAGCACAGTATTTTAGATTAGTTCTCAGTAACATTAAAGTTTCTGCTTTTATTGTATTGAAGAGGTAAAAGTCATGGGTAAACTACACTATCCTTCAGAGCTCACATAAAGGTAATTAGCTTAATATAGGATCCCTAAGGCCTACGCCTCTGGACACAGATCAAAAGAAACACAGCAAGGTTGTTCAATTTTTTTTTAAATTAGGAAGGTTATTAAGCAGGAAATGTTGCTATGTAACACCTTTAAAACTAAAACAGTCTCTGCCATTGTTCCCAGAATGAACTTAGAGATAGAACAGAAGTCCACAGAGAATTTTTTTTCTTTGCCTCAGTGAAAATCAGTACTAAAAGAGTGAAGAAAAAGGGGAAGCCTTCTAGAGTTGTTTGTGGGAAAAGAACCCTCAGACGTCAGCAGTTGGGGAAAAGGGAAATGGGAGTTTTTTTCTTTCAAAGTGAACAACAAAGAAAGCACATTTCACATAGAATTTCTCAATCACCAGGAATGCAGCTGAACTCCTGAAGCATGCAGCTTTGGGAGATGGGCCAAGCCAGGTCCATGGCATTGCATGGTACGGTCTCATAACCCATCTCAGCCAGACAACACTTCCCAGGCATCAGAGGGCCATGTGACTAAAAAATAGGAGTAATCAATAGCATGAATTAAGGAGATGCTAGTCTGGACCTTTCAAAGCCTATTTGCCCATAAATTGCCTTGACCTGAACCATGATTGTGGCTAAGATGAGAACAAAGTTACTGAAAGCTTTCTGCCAGGGAAAGTCTTTGGGAAGGTGGAGAACAGAAAGTACTGATTAAAAAAAAAAAGAAAAATAAGAGAATAAAGTGCTAGTGACTTGAGTATTCTAGGAATGAGGTAGAAATGATCTAAGAAAAGGAAACCTAGAAAAATCAGGACACTTGGTTACTAATTATGCAAATAAGTGACTAATATGGTGAATTATATTGGATAATATAATATATATTGGATATATAGTGGTTTGTTCATTTTACTATCCATCTATTTGCTGCCCAAAGACCAGTTCTCAGTTCCCTGATGTGGAGGTAACTGTCCTATGAGAAAGCATGGGGTAGGATGTTGAAGACACAAATTTTAGAAGTCGACTGGAGTCCAGGTAGATCACTACACTGCAATTTAACTTTTCTAGAATCTACCTTACCTAGAAAACAAGGTTTTCTTTACTTTCCCCCTTTCTTTTCCTTTCTTCTTTCTGCTTTTGTTTTTCTTTTCTTTCTTCTTTCTTTTGTCACCTTCTCCTTTTTCTTTTCCTTACTGTAAAAAAATACTTTGAGACAGGTCTCATTATGAAGTCCATGCTGGCTTTGAATTCATGGTCTTTCTGCCTCAACCTCCTAAGTACTAGGATTACAGATGTGGACCCTAACACCCTAAAACAAGGTCAGAGTGCTTTAAAAAGCCCTGAGAGCTAGTAAGCACCACGTGAGTGTCTGACAGATAAATATGCTCCAACTTTAGCACTAGTATAAGCACTGAGAATACAATTTCAGAGTTTCCAAAAAGCCTTCACATACTTTATCACACTTCATCTGAAAAATTCTAAGGTAGTAAAAAGTGAATAGTATCTTCTCTACTTTTCATATATAAAAAAACTGAGGCACAGAGAGGTAGAGTGAGAAATAAGACCAGTGCACCATGGGGAGCCCGTTTCCTCAGTTATGTAACTCATGGGCAATCTGCCATCAAAGCTAAGAACTCTAGAATGCTCTGGATGCCTTTCATATAAATCCCACTCCATCTTTTTTTTTTTTTTTTTTTTTTTTACATATCTAAAACAGTCTTTATTATAAGTAAAACCATTTAATAGAAAAAAATTGTAAGCTATAAAGACACCAATTTTTCACTATGGTGCAAAAGGATGACTGGCAAATAAAATAAAGACTGTTTTACTCCATCTTGTTTTTCTTTCCCACAGTATCTATCACTGAAGATAGATTGAGGAATACACCCTTTCCCCTTATAGGTTCTTGGCCAAAGAGAGCAAAGTTCTTTTCTTCTCCAGATTATTTTGCTTCTATATCAATATTGTGTAACACTGAAAACCTGGGCACACAGCCCAAAGGCCATGACTCTTCAATTTTATACTGTCTGGGACTGACAAACTATACATGGGTTACAGAAAATGATAACTCAGTGGCCATGTACTGTTCGTCAGTTCTACAATTTCCTGAAGGAACTGCAGTGGCTGTAACTCAGCCTTCAGAGAGGCTTCAGGAAAAGGAGGTTTCAGAAACCACCCTAAAGCTGGTGGTTTTGTGGGGGTGTAGTGGGTAAGACATTCTTTAGGGACTATGCATATTTACCTTTCCAGCTCAGGGATTAAAAACTCCCACACTGAAATAAACCCTTAGAAAAAGTTTACTCCTCTGCCACAGAGAGTAATATTCAAACTTAGACCAATTTGTCCTTCTAAAAAGTAACTAAAGGTGATCACCACACATAAGTCATCTTACCTTGGAAACTGCAGAAGACAACAACGTGCAATAATACCATGACTCCCAGGAGGGGAGCCTACAGGGCATGCAAAATGTGGTGCTAGCCTGGGGCTCCCAGGACTTGAGGGTCTGAAGGCCCAAGGACTCTAAGCTGAAAGACTCTTAAGCTGAAAGACTCTAAGCTGAAGTTCTGGGGCATTTCCATCCTGTCCCAGGACCACAGCAATGCTTGACAACACCCCTTTGGCACTCCTTGGAGAGAAAACAAGGAGAAGAAAACGGACAAAAGAAATGTGCTCAGACTAGCAAGAAGCTTTGGGACTCCATAAAGGGAAGCAGAGAGATGGGAAAACTTGCATGTTCTTTTCCCCACCACCCTGGTCCAGCCATAGCCATATCTGAGGCCTTAAGCCCCAAAGAATACCTCCCTTCTCTTTTCCTTCTGGGCCCGGTGGCTTCTTCCTCCAGATTGGGATGCAGAGCCGCACACAACATACCGCGCCCCCCTCAAGGGCTATACTGTCACACAATAAGAGAACAACCTAACCCTGTCCCCTTTTCATCAATATCTAAAGTTATCATTATTTCAAAAATGTTCTGCCCATCAAAAATGAATCCAGAAACTCCGATTCTGTTTCTCAACAGACACAAAGTCTCTTATCTTCCTTCCCTCAGACGTTTGTGGAATTTGCACTGTTGGAATGAACAGAAGTAGCTTAAAGCACAGCGAGTCCCTATGTTGCCACAACTTGCATGGACTTTTCCCTTCACCAAAGAGCAAGGGACCCTTTCAAAAGAGATGCTACTTTAGCTTGAAAATAAAAACTGCCGAAATCATCACTTAACACCTAAAAAGACTCATTCTCTCTAGTTTCATTTTTGTAGCTTGAGAAATAGGATAACATAACCAACGTAGGAAGTGAAACCCAATTGCACAAGTGATTGCGAAGTGAACGTTCACCCAGAAAAGAAGTTTCAGACTGGCAGAAATGTGCCCAGCCTTACCCCGACACCAACCTGTCCCTTGTGCCCACCACCCTGTCCCTGCCCGCCCGCAGCATCCGCGCCCCGCAAATTCCGCGCCCCGCAAATTCCGCGCCCCGCACCTGCGGTGAGTCCCCGCAAATTCCGCGCCCCGCACCTGCGGTGAGTCCCCGCGGAGATCGCAGCACCTGTCCCGCGCCGGCCGCGCGCACTGCGGAGGGCTACACAGGAGGGCGGGGCGCAGGCGGGGCGCAGGCGGGGCGCAGGCGGGGCCCCCTCGTAGGCTGATTGACTATTAATGAGCTCCCAGCGCCCAAAGTCTTGCTTTCCACCCCGCCAAGCCCCTAAATCGTCCGATGTCCCTCCCACCCCGCCCCCGCCCACCTCATCCTTGATTTCTAACCTGTTTGGCTTTGGTATGGGTAAAAATTGTGGTTTCCTCTCTTGGATGGGCAGGGGACACTCGTGGTGTAGGAACTTTGTATACTCAAACTTTTCAGGACTGGGAAAGGGAAAGGAAGGAGAAGGCGTTGAACCTTTATTTAGCTGGAAAAAAAAAAAGATGTTCATGTTGAATTTTGAAAGCTTAAAACATTTTATAGGACATGGGTTACACGTTAAGGGGAGAACACATATAGGAGGAATAGGGATAGGTAGGAAACCCAAAACTTGAAAGTGTTTGATATGCCCATTGTAGAGGAGCTAATACAGAAACCTTAAAATGACAGAGTTCACTATGGGAAGGTGACAAGGAAGTAGTAAAGAGCTCAGGTAGAAGTGAATCAATTCAGATTGTAACACACTTGTGCATGGAAGCAATACTAGGAATCTCTCTGTACAGCTATCCTTGTCTCAAACTAGCAAAAACACTATGTGTTTCTTATTATTGCTATGTCTTCTCTTCAGCAAAATTGAAGAAGAGGACAGAACAAGTTCTACCTGGAAGCAAGGGAGTGGGAGGGAAAAGGAGAGGGCAGGGAGCAGGGGGGAGAAATGGCCCAAACAATAAATGAATAATAAATAAATAAATAACCGTTAACATTAAAAAAAAAGAAGAAGAAGAAGAAAATTAAAATCTAGAAGGACGGGGTAAAAAACTGATCAGAAATCATGGACAAAATCACCTGCCCTCAAACTTCACCTTCCTAGCACCTATGTGGCAAGGCTTGCTTAAAGGGTGAACAGGTAACTTTTAGGAAAGGTTGCTATAAGTGATCTTTATATTACAAATGTTCCAAATCCTTAAAAGGAGACCACTTGCTTTGTCACTGTGTTGCCCCATGCTAAGGGTCCAAAGGAGAATCTTAAGAGAGAGCCTGTATGTAAGGAGCTCATTACACAAACCACTCCCTGTGTTTTCAAAAGGGACATTCAGAGAAGGGTTTTCATAACATCAATATCCAGATTAGGGATGTTCCAAGCTTCCTACAATCCTCATAATATTTATGGATCTATTTTCCGTGGGTTTCTCTGAAAAGTTTTTTTTTTCTTTTATTTATATGTGCATACAATGTTTGGGTCATTTCTCCCTCTTTCCCCCCGCCCCCTCACTCTCCTCCTCACCCCCTCACTACCAGGTAGAAACTATTTTGCCCTTATCTCTAATTTTGTTGTGGAGAGAGTATAAGCAACAATAGGAAGGAACAAGGGTTTTTGCTAGTTGAGATAAGGATAGCTACACAGGGGGTTGACTCGCATTGATTTCCTGTGCATGGATGTTACCTTCTAGGTTAATTCTTTTTGATCTAACCTTTTCTCTAGTTCCTGGTCCCCTTCTCCTATTGGCCTCAGTTGCTTTAAAGTATCTGCATTAGTTTCTCTGCATTGAGGGCAACAAATGCTATCTAGTTTTTTGGGTGTCTTACCTATCCTCATACCTCCCAAATGTGCTCTTCCTTTATCATTTTATCAAAGTCCAATCCCCTTGTTGTGTTTGCCCTTGATCTAATGTCCGAATAGAGGGAGAACATACGATTTTTGGTCTTTTGGGCCAGGCTAACCTCATTCAGAATTATGTTCTCCAGTTCCATCCATTTACCTGCAAATGATAAGATTTCATTCTTTTTCATGGCTGCATAAAACTCCATTGTGAATAAATACCACATTTTCTTAATCCATTCATCAGTGGTGGGGCTTCTTGGCTGTTTCCATAACTTGGCTATTGTGAATAGTGCCGCAATAAACATGGTTGTGCAGGTGCCTCTGGAGTAACCTGTGTCACAGTCTTTTGGGTATATCCCCAAGAGTGGTATTGCTGGATCATATGGCAGATCTATGTTTAGATTTTTAAGAAGCCTCCAATTTTTTTTTCCAGAGTGGTTGTACTAGATTGCATTCCCACCAGCAGTGTAAAAGGGTTCCTTTTTCCCCACCCCCTCACCAACACCTGTTGTTAGTGGTGTTGCTAATA